CGGGGGAGAAATGCTAACGCTAACGCTACAGTAGCATCTGCGATCTTTTATACTTCATGCTATCTGCACAAATGGTTGATATCAAACATTAAAAAGATCAGGCAGTTCAGAGAGAATCGAAGGCAGGCAGCTTTGCATGACATTCTTCTGGACGTGTTTCATTGTGGTGATAGTGAGGGTAGTCAATCCCTTTTTTTGGCAAGACAGTAGTGACGGCCATCTTGGTGACGTGTGTTGTTGTGCGAGACCAGAGATGTAGTTCATTGAGCGTTTCACACAAAAAAATGTGTTACTTCACAGTTTTACGACACATTTTTCTTTTTTTTACTTGCGAAATTATTTTTTAAATTGACAAACATCATATGTGTAATTCGTGGCACAATTCAAACGGGATCGAAAGATAATCTATCTCTCTCCATTGACTTCAATACATAATTTTTCCGAAATAAAGTCCCATGGAGGTCCACCGGAAGGGGAGGGACTTCGCCAGTACAGTTTTACTGTATATCAGTATAAAAAAAAGTTGTGCACTTGTAAAAAAAAGTTGTGTACTTGTAAAACCTATGCTGAATTTGTCTCTGAACCACAATTTATTAGAAAAATGTTATGTGCTTATTTGATAGATATGTTTTTTCTTTTCAAAACTAAATGCATTAGTTTGTAGATGGTGTTTTGTATTTGCAAACCACATTGTGTTTGTCAGTGAATCATGAGGGATTTGTAAAACCTGTTTAGTTTGTTTGTGGAGTTATGGCAGGAAATTAGCTCCATACTAACGGAACTAAATGGGATAAGTACGGGAAAAATTACTCCAGTGTGAACGCGCCTATTGAGTGAATTGAACAAATCTGGGGCTGTCGAGACATGTTTTAATTTTTAGAGTAGGGCCTAAAAACCATAAAATGGAACAATCAAAACTTGCTGAAGAGGAGGTCACTAGAAAAACTCTTTGAACTGTAGTTGATATTGTTCCTGCTTTTTTGCAGGGTATATTTTGTCCTGACTGAATTCCACACTGAGTTGCCATTTTTGCCAGAGAGCAAACACATCTCATATGAATGGTGAGTTAATTTTTGGTATCATTATTTCCTGACTGACAAATAGAATGTTACAAATCAAGTTAATGTTTTTTGTCCTTACGGCATTTAAACCTAATTATCTGGCAATAAAGAATAGCAGTGACAGGTTGAGTGTCTGCTGCCGCTGTGTAGAACTGTAGGCTTGTCTGAGTTGTCAGATTTATGAGAGGAAGTTAAGGCCTTTGCATAAAAAGTGCACCTACTATACTAGGCTTTCTTGTCTCAGTTATTAGAGCACAGCTGTAGCATATAAAGTGGCATTGCATCTTTAGACCTCCTGTATAGTGCTGATGACAATATGGTTGGCATATTG